AGTTAGTCTTAGTCTAGTCCAGGGTCTTAGTATTTTTAGCTGGAGTGGTTCTTTTTAGCTCTTTCAAACAAATATCTGTTCCTTTAAATCTTGTAGTTCATTCTTCTTTAGCTTGAGTGGCTCCTTCTAGCTCTTTCAATAAAATATCTGTTCTTTTAAATCTTGTAGTTCATTCTTTTTTAGCTTGAGTGGCTCCTTCTAGCTCTTTCAATAAAATATCTGTTCTTTTAAATCTTGTAGTTCATTCTTTTTTAGCTTGAGTGGCTCCCTCTAGCTCTTTCAATCAAATATCTGTTCCTTTAAATCTTGTAGTTCATTCTTTTTTAGCTTGAGTGGCTCCTTCTAGCTCTTTCAATCAAATATCTGTTCCTTTAAATCTTGTAGTTCATTCTTTTTTAGCTTGAGTGGCTCCTTCTAGCTCTTTCAATCAAATATCTGTTCTTTTAAATCTTGTAGTTCATTCTTTTTTAGCTTGAGTGGCTCCTTCTAGCTCTTTCAATCAAATATCTGTTCCTTTAAATCTTGTAGTTCATTCTTTTTTAGCTTGAGTGGCTCCTTCTAGCTCTTTCAATCAATTATCTGTTCTTTTAAATCTTGTAGTTCATTCTTTTTTAGCTTGAGTGGCTCCTTCTAGCTCTTTCAATCAATTATCTGTTCTTTTAAATCTTGTAGTTCATTCTTTTTTAGCTTGAGTGGCTCCTTCTAGCTCTTTCAATCAATTATCTGTTCTTTTAAATCTTGTAGTTCATTCTTTTTTAGCTTGAGTGGCTCCTTCTAGCTCTTTCAATCAAATATCTGTTCTTTTAAACCTTGTAGTTCATTCTTTTTTAGCTTGAGTGGCTCCTTATTCTAGCTCTTTCAATCAAATATCTGTTCTTTTAAATCTTGTAGTTCATTCTTTTTTAGCTTGAGTGGCTCCTTCTAGCTCTTTCAATCAATTATCTGTTCTTTTAAATCTTGTAGTTCATTCTTTTTTAGCTTGAGTGGCTCCTTCTAGCTCTTTCAATCAAATATATGTTCCTTTAAATCTTGTAGTTTATTCTTTTTTAGCTTGAGTGGTTCTTTTTAGCTCTTTCAATCAAATATCTGTTCTTTTAAATCTTGTAGTTCATTTTTTTTAGCTTGAGTGGCTCCTTCTAGCTCTTTCAATCAATTATCTGTTCCTTTAAATCTTGTAGTTTATTCTTTTTTATCTTAAGTGGCTCTTTCTAGCTCTTTCAATCAAATATCTGTTTCTTTAAATCTTGTAGTTCATTCTTTTTTAGCTTGAGTGGCTCCTTCTAGCTCTTTCAATCAAATATCTGTTCCTTTAAATCTTGTAGTTCATTCTTTTTTAGCTTGAGTGGCTCCTTCTAGCTCTTTCAATCAAATATCTGTTCCTTTAAATCTTGTAGTTCATTCTTTTTTAGCTTGAGTGGCTCCTTCTAGCTCTTTCAATCAATTATATGTTTCTTTAAATCTTGTAGTTCATTCTTTTTTAGCTTGAGTGGCTCCCTCTAGCTCTTTCAATAAAACATCTGTTCCTTTAAATCTTGCAGTTCATTCTTGTAGAGCAAACTTTGGATCTTTTGAGCGGTAGAAAAAAATTCCCAAACATCAGGTGCGCCTATGGGATAGATAGAGGCGCTCGAAACGATTGAGCCGATTGAGTAACTAGCGCTCAATCACGCGGAGGCGACGAAAATATCCATTGTTGTAACGATATTAACGAAGTTTCTTTCGGATTTAGCGCCCTATACGAAAACAAAATTACTCAGTCGGCGCTTTTGAATTATTCATGCCCAGCGATTCTGGAATTTTGAAACCGAATAGGGAAATTACTATTGTGCGAGAAAAATCGCACAAACGCGCCCTAATAGAAACCATTCCTTTCGATTTTCTAACGCTTTTCAGCTGCGGGTGAATTGAATTTTTAGCAACCAGCTCAAACTACTAACACTATTGTTGTTAAAAAATTGATTTACAACGAAATTACTCAATAGCGAGAAGAGCTACATTCTTAATGAAGCTTCTGGATTTGGACACTTTCTGGTTCTCATTGTTCGTTAAAGGAGCCTGCTAACGACAGTTATTTACCCTTTTCCAAAGACTCCGAAATACCCTCCATCTCTCATTCACAAACTTTTGTTTGAATAATAACAACGTCTTATCATATATTTATAAATCCACTGGCTGGAAAGTTTCCTACACACACACCATTGTAAACTCAGAGTTTAATCGAGACGATATTTATTCTTAGTCTTTTTACCATCCATATACCCCGGAATTTTGCTCATAAAATAATTGATGACACGAAGCTGATGGAAGCTCCTTCTTCGCGAAATTGTTCTGGTACATCGGAAATATCGAGGCGTTGCCGGTTTAATTGTGTCATTAATGTTATTGGAAGGCAATTTGCGGTCGCTTTCGAAGCGAAATGTCTCTAATGACGCCTTCAAAGCGCTCAAAATTGCCTGCGAAATTGTTATAAATTACTTAATAGTAGACCAACTGTTGAAAATATTAACGCTACAACTGTTTAGTGTGTTTTTCATTTCGAATGTTTCGTCTGATTCACCGCGAGTTTAATTCGATCAGGTCCATTAGAAACACTCACATTCGAGATTATCCTGTTTCATCCCTCTTTTTATTTGCAAATCCTGTACATAAATCAAGCGCCATATGACCGCATTAGATGTATAATCATTTAATTTTCTACACCACATTTCCCTCTGTGATTCCCCCTTACATATCCCGGCGAATCAACCACACCCTGTGCAATTTTTAAGACTCCAAAACGTTCCACTGTAGGGGATTTTATCGGTTCATCAGGAAGATTTTTACAACGATTTATTACCATAAATTTACAAGATATAACACATCACCGGTATCATCAAAGAAACTTCAATCATTCCGCGAGGAATCTCAAGAAGACATCGCCACCATTTAACTCTATAGCGTTATTGCGGCGCCCTAAACCATCGGTAGGGCTGTTGAACACAGCGGAGCCCCTAAGACAATCGTTCCATTATCCTTAGAACAGTAGCTTGTCCCTTTTTGTTCACTTATTAGCGCACAATGGGGGGATGTGAACGCAGGGAAGACATTTCTCGGTCAGATTTCAAATTGGCGCTGACAAGCGGATTATTTATTCCGAGTGGGCGTTGGGGTTGTTGAAGCCCTCTTGGAATAGTTAAGGGGGGTTGTAAATAGTTGGATTATTTTGCAAATATGCTCGGTGTTGATGGAGCGAAATCGTTCCAAACTGGCGGTTAGAGAGAATTAGATGGTCGGCTTCAAATCCAGTCCAATTTTCTAAAAAACTTTCAATCGGCTCGAAACGCTGTTGGGTTTTATTGCGCAATCGATTCGAGGCTACAAACGAATCGATTTGAAACAAATATCGTTAGTATTAATGAAACAGTAGATAAATTTACAATCGATGTAAATGTCGCGTTATCCGCGGATTTGTCTGGAATTATCTTTCGGCGTTTATTTCCGGATTATCTGGCGGAAAAAAAAAGATAAATAGCCGGTCGTGTTGTCCTTTTAGACCGCAATTTCGTTCATCGCGTCGGGCGAAAATAAAGGAAATCGCCGGCGACGAGCGCGAAAAAAGAAATTGCCGGCGATTCGAAAGGACCAGCCTCGGAAATATCATTTGCTGGTTTTAGTCCTTCGCTTTTCGCAAAAAGCGAATCGTTTATGGAGTTTTACTTTCCGGATTCGGGTGTTAGGCGTTATCCGGGAGTTTCCCGGAAGGAACGGGGCTGTTGTTCCATCGGATGTTCGAACTATAAGCAGGATATCGAAGAGTAAATTTTTTTTTTGTAAGAAACATCGCGAATAATTCATCACATCGAGTGAAAAAAAGGACCTCTCGCACCTCGCTCGGGCGTTTCTCCTAATTAATATCCTTCCTCTTTTTGTTTAATTACTTCTCGTCGGGTTTGGGGCCCTTTGGGTACCTGCTTTTTGCGATGAAAAAACGGCAATCTTTTTCTGGTAATGTATGGTTCGAAACGGGATGTTAAAAGTAAGTTTTCCTGTTTTTTTTGTCCTGCTAAGACGCGAACGAATTGCTCGTTCTAGCAGGAGAAGAGCTTTTCAACCAAAGGGATGTATTAATTACTATTTCCGTTGAAGTTGATTGCGATTGTGTATACACTTTCTATAATATACTTAAAAATAAATTGGTTTATTGCTTAATTTTTATTGCAAATTAATGCTATTTATTGTGATTGATTTACTGAATAAATGTTGTTTGTAAGATGCTAGAAACTGAATATACTTACCCACATACTTATTTATTTAGGGGGTATTTAACATATTTATGTAACAATAAAAATTCTTAGATTCTTAGAGGTTTTAATTCTTATTCACATTCTTAGTATTATACATCTGTAGTAAATTCTAGATAAGATACATTTCAAATATTTTTTTAAAATCTAATAGTTGATCTAATAGTTGAAATTCAGTAGATTATTTTTAATTTAATATTTACATTATTCCTATTCTAGACAAACTTAAACTTAGTTTATTTATTACTTATAGTTTTGAGCTACTATATAGCGAATTATTGAGCTAGAAAACAATATATTTCGTATTAATCATAACATTTTATTGTTAATTTTTACATATTTAACCTATATTTCGCCAAAACAAAGATATTACAAAATTCCTTCTGCTATGATATTACTAAACAATTTTCAGATTTATATTTTCGTTGCTCAAAGAAAGCAACTTTCGAATTTATTACTTTTTGAACGAGAATATGCAGACGAAATTATTCAAAGTATTTAGTGTCATAAACATCAATATCAACTCAATAGGGGAACGCTTTGTTACATTTTTAAGGAATTTTATATGGAAGAAATATTTTAGATTATAGTTCAATAGAATAATAGTTATGTACAATTTATATACAATATATATTACATCAGAAAAATCGTTTAGCACATTTCTTAAACATTATAATTAATCAAAATGAAGAACACTGAAATGTAATTGATGGAAGATAAGAAGAAAGTATTTCTAGTTTTCCGATTAGCTCAGGGACTAGATTTACAGTCATTTAAAATTTTCATCTATCTAATACTATTAATAAAATATTTACAAATACCAAAAAAAAAGTATCCAATCTTGTCGAGATATCGCTGGTGTTGGCATGCAACATTGCAGCCGGGTTTTCTTCTGAAAAATAAAAAAAATACTGTGAAATAAAAATAACTGAAATACATCATTCAAATAAGGCACATAAAATACTAATCAAAAATTTTTAATAATTTATTTCCGGAAAATTCGGTGCAAGCGAAACGCTTTCATTTATATACCTAATCTTAAATTTTAAAGTTTCCCATAACTCCCGCTTTCTTACGAGAAACTCGACCTTTTTTTAATTAAAATTCCGCAAAATAAATAAACAACCGAACGGTTATTTATACATATACACCAACTTTTCGATAACCACATAAAAAACTTTTTTATTAAAAATCCGAAGAGGCAACTAATCGCTTCAGAAGGACCACTTTCCATCGAAAGTCGCCACGAAACTCGAAAGAATAATTTTTCAATCGACAAATAAAGTTTCGCCAAGTTCCCTCATCGCTCATAAAAGTCCATCAAAAATCCCCGACACAGAAGTTCGTAGTTCACGGATCTCCATTAATATGTATAGTTTATTTTTTTGTTGTTATAGAGTCGGAAATTCCTGCAATAGATACACGAAATTTCTTTTAATGAGCTAAATTAAGCGATACAATATGTAGATTTGAAATGATGAATTGCCGAAAAACATGAAAAGAATAGATTCAGAGACGAATAAATGGCACCCAATTTGTGAAGGATATGCGAAATATTCCCTTAACAATTTCAATAATCTCCAAGTACTCTAAAGTTCACAATTCAATCAGTAATTTCGATGAAAACTTTATATTCACTAACAAAAGGATGAAGTGCCCTTCACGATGAGTTTACTAATTTCATTAGTATTACATAAAGCAACGTGTAAATAGAAATTAAGTAAATATACCTACATTATTCTAGACTAGATTTTAACTCTCTCGAAGTTACCCCACACAAAAACCTTTAGTGAGAAAATTGCATAAATTTAACAAAGCCGCATTATATCTAAAACTAAGTAAACTGTTTAAAGTTGATAATTTAAGTTTAAATGTTAAAATTAACTCGAGTACCAAGTTGAATAATTTATCACATTTCACAATTCGCATAATTGACCAAAATAGATGTAACAAAGTACTAGCACAAACAGAAACAGCTGGAATGTAATAACTAATAACCGAAACCATAAATGTTTATCCGCAGCGGTTGGTAAAGAGAAAACTGGAACTAATAAATTTTAGTTACATTCTTGGTACATTGTCGAGAGAATTTCATTAATTTACACCACCTTTGCCAGAGATATTGCATGCTGCTCCGCCGCTTTTATTTGTAGATATAACATGCAATATTCTTAAACCACACCTGGACTGGTAGATGTAGCTTAATAGAGCACGAGCGTCCGGTTAGAGCTAAATTTCCTAATTTTACAACGAATTACAAAATGAAATCCACTGTTTCAGAATTTCTATAAATCTCCCTTTAATATCTACATTAAGTTCTGTACCTCATAAAAAATGGTGAAGTATTTATACACAAGTTATTCAACATATTTTAACGAAACAAAAACACAAATTTTTATAAACAATATTTATTAAGCACGCCATTGAATACCCACATAATTCCAACGTTGGCAAATATTTCATTTAATTTAAAACGAAGCGAAGCGTCCAACTAAAACTCTGGATAAAGATAAGGTATGTACCATGAATTTGCTTTACTCAATCCATTGTATTGCATACAGATATCTGTATATTCCACAAATTCTGCACCTTTGTACAAAAATCGCCGTTTGTTAACCGCTGTATTTGCGATATAGTTCATAAATATTTTACACGAACCCACCGATAAGCCAAAATGTTTAGCTTATATTTATTTATTAAATTCAGATAAATATTTACCGAATATAAATCCTCTAGAGGGAATGGTTTTATTAGAAACTATTGCTACTGATTCCTTAATTTTTCTGTTGATTATATCCAATAAATATACGAAGTAGATAAACGAAAATATCGTGAATGCGATGAAAGAGTGATAAACGGGGAACTTTAGTCGAAAATAGGGTAAATTATTTAGAATTTTACGGAGCTATTTGTAGCAATAACAGCTGCATGCTATATTAAATGCATCGTACATGGTTAAAAGCAGCATTCGACAAAAAAATGGCGTTAAAACGAAGCATAAAAATGCAATATTCAAGTGCTATTAGTCGGTATGTACGACACTACTGAGCATTGAATTAAAACGGGAATAATTTACATTTTAACTATTGCTCGATCACAAAAAATATCCTGCTGCTATAGAGTTAACTACAGATGTAATTTTACTCTTCCTCTCCAGACTAGTAGTTGGAAAATTAACAAATCTATCAAGATATAGTGTTGCTTCTCAAATCAATGCAAGATATCCTAATTCATTTGAACTACTTCATCCTAATCTGCTCCACTTTCCACTAAACAAGATTGATTACCTTCTACCAAAAGTCTCACTATAATAAAACCAAAACCAATAACCGCCTGTTTACCTACTTTTCTTTCCTCTCCAGACTAGTAGTTGGAAAATTAACAAATCTATCAAGATATAGTGTTGCTTCTCAAATCAATGCAAGATATCCTAATCCTTTTGAACTACTTCATCCTAATCTGCTCCACTTTCCACTAAACAAGATGCCCATCTACCAAAAGCCTCACTATAATAAAACCAAAACCAATAACCGCCTGTTTACCTACTTTTCTTTCCTCTCCAGACTAGTAGTTGGAAAATTAACAAATCTATCAAGATATAGTGTTGCTTCTCAAATCAATGCAAGATATCCTAATCCTTTTGAACTACTTCATCCTAATCTGCTCCACTTTCCACTAAACAAGATGCCCATCTACCAAAAGCCTCACTATAATAAAACCAAAACCAATAACCGCCTGTTTACCTACTTTTCTTTCCTCTCCAGACTAGTAGTTGGAAAATTAACAAATCTATCAAGATATAGTGTTGCTTCTCAAATCAATGCAAGATATCTTAATCCTTTCGAACTACTTCATCCCAATCTGCTCCACTTTCCACTAAACAAGATTCCCATCTACCAAAAGCCTCACTATAATAAAACCAAAACCAATAACCGCCTGTTTACCTACTTTTCTATCTTCCATCGTCTCCGCTTCAGACAAGAAACATGAAATATTATGCACGAAGAGTGCATGTGACGGGCAGCAGGCAGGTCTCGGAGTTCCATGCGGAATAAGGACCACGAATAACATGTAATTGGGGTGAAATCTATTCGAAACAAGAACGATACAGTGAAATATCGCTGGAGCTGACGTTTTGAACTTTGAAAAAGCGGATAGAAAGCCGTCGAGCTGAATTTTAACTCGAAAGGGTCCGGAATAGGGTCGGTCGATCTGTTATTGTTAATAGAAAATGTATTTTTTTTGAATCGCCGAATTGGCGAGCATTTGGTGAATAAGAGGTTTGAATTAGATTTTCTTTTGTATTGTTAATAATTTCGTTAATAATTTCGAAATATAACACGGTAATCGTTATTGGTTTGATTTATTTCTTGATATGCAATATAGTAAAAATATTGCTTTTTTAACTGCAACAATTATCTTATATTCTGACAATGATTTTTAATTAAAACAACGATAAATCAAGTTTTTGTAACAGCTTATGCTGTTACACTGAGCCATATATCAAACCTACATTTTTTTATTAAAATTGTTATAAATTGCCTCGATGAAATTACTAAAAATAATTAAATGTATAATTACCTATGTTAATGGTGTATTTTTATATACCTACCATATAATTAATGTTTTTAAATGTCGATAAAATGAAATTTTAGTCCTGAAAATTAACGACTAGTAGAACTCATGGTATTTACGTTTATCATTGTGTAAATTTGCATAAATTATATTCCAAGAAACCCAGTCAATTAAGACATTACAAGTAATTGCTAATTATACTTGTTATTTAATTCACACGTCTTTGTTAAGAAACGCCTAAAACAGTAAAACTTTTACTTTATTACCAAGTTTTACATTATTACCCAGCATTGTCGTTACAAACATTTTATAGACTTTCTACAACAGGGAGCAGTTATCGTAAAATATTACATTGTATGTTCTACAATCCTCTCCATTTTGCTCCAATCTATCTATTAGATATTAATGCTATTAAAAAAATCTTACCTTCAGTTGCATTCAACACATGAACTGTCACATAAGCCGGTATGGTGTTCGATGGATAACAAGTGTAATTCCCACTATGTCTTGTATCAGCTTCATCCAACTGGAAAACGCTGGAAGTTTTATCAGCGTTCACCATCACTCCTGGATCATGGTTGACCATTTTCTGTTCGTGGTACCAAAAAACATACGCTGGTGCTTCGGTAGCGTGCAATAAATTGCACTGCAATCTCAGCACAGATCCGGCTTTGATGTACAAGTCCGGAGCCCCCAGGATTATCGCCACAGCTTCTGCAACAAAAATATTATTTAGTGTCTTTACTGTGCAGCTACAAGACTAGGATTTCTGGAAGCATCGAAGCTTGAAGTTAAGATCCCAATATATCGTAGTTTTATTTGTAAGTAGAATTCCTGAGCGATTCGCTACCAAAATCTTCTGATAATTCGTTAAATATTTTTTATAACAAACGCAAAATTGATTGGGCACATGCAAATTCGAAAGTTCGGCGCAAATCTTGGAAAAAATATGTCGGTTCGCATGAAACTTCCATTTCGCAAATTGATTTATACTTAGGTGGGCACAAATCATGAATAAAAAATGAGCCGAAGTATAGGAAAAATATCCCGAGAAATTGAGAATGCCCGAAACTCTCTTATGAAAATGCACACGTGCTACAACCGAATTTCCATAACAAAAAAAACGAGAAGTCAGTCAGAAGCGTTTGGCTACTATAAGACCCACCTGTGACCCTTAACTGAGGAAAAATAGCCGATAAAAGATGTGCTAACACTCCAACGATTAGAATAGAGTTAAAAACGCTTCCAGTACACGATATAATTTATTCAAACAAGCTCGCTGTGCGGCTGGGAATCGAGAAATTCAGCTTACCTGTTACCTTCAATTCCAAAAATATGCTGGAGGTGGGATGTGTGGATATTTGACATTCATACACTCCAGCATCTTCCGGTCGGACGTGCTTAATAACCAAACCCCAATTTTGTAGATGCCTTGCATGTTCAACGAGGAATCGATCGTCTGCAATGTACGTTCCAACTCCCACTGTCAGTATCGCCGGGGGCTCCACGTTTTTTCTGATCCAGGATACCTGAAACATCATCAATATCATCCAATGATTTCGTTATTTATACCGATAAATTCCGAGTTATTATTAATCGTAAAAATATCTAATGCATCGCATTAGAAAAGCTGAATATACCGGAGATATTCTGGATTTAGTTGGTGCTTTTTATTCATCTCTATCATCCGCCGGATCTTTATTCAACTCGCCGGGATTTCTTCTGCCAATTATTCATGCCATTGAAAAGTTTGAGAAGGAAGTTTGATAATAAGATACAATTAAGATAAACTGATGTGCAATTTAGGTTTTCCACAGTGTTAAAATGCAGCCGTTAACCAACTAGCTGAACTTTATGTAAATTTTAGATTGAATTCGTACCGAATAAGTGGAATTAGCTGGTTTCTTAGTTAATGTGAAAATGAGATCGCACAGAGGCAAACAATTTTTCTATTCTGTCTTTGTTTGTAGTTTTGTAACAATTTTTAACATTTTCTTTAACAAGTTCTTCGTTTGTGACATTTTCTTTAACAAGATCTTCGTTTGTAACAGTCTCTTTAACAAGTTCTTTATTTGTAACATTTTCTTTAACACGTTCTTCGTTTGTAATATTTTCTTTAACAAGTTCTTCGTTTGTAACATTTTCTATGACAAATTCTTTAATTGTAACATTTACTTTAACAAGTTCTTCGTTTGTAACATTTTCTATGACAAATTCTTTAATTGTAACATTTTCTTTAACAAGTTCTTCGTTTGTAACATTTTCTATGACAAATTCTTTAATTGTAACATTTTCTTTAACAAGTTCTTCGTTTGTAACATTTTCTATGACAAATTCTTTAATTGTAACATTTTCTTTAACAAGTTCTTCGTTTGTAACATTTTCTATGACAAATTCTTTAATTGTAACATTTTCTTTAACAAGTTCTTCGTTTGTAACATTTTCTATGACAAATTCTTTAATTGTAACATTTTCTTTAACAAGTTCTTCGTTTGTAACATTTTCTATGACAAATTCTTTAATTGTAACATTTTCTTTAACAAGTTCTTCGTTTGTAACATTTCTTCTCTTTGTAATTTTATTGTTAACAATGTTGCAACGTAGATATCAGCAATTTATTTTTGAACAATTCAATTTTCGTCGTTTTTGCGGACGCCCGACAGCGTTTTACAATGAGGATTAAAAATGCAAAAAAATAACGATTTATCTTCTGCGTCGTAGACGTCTTGAGACTAATTCTAGCTATCCACTATGGACCGAAAGTGCGACCTCTCTCGACCGAAGTTCCCAACTCTTGACTCAATAAAGCTCAATTAAATGAGCAATAGGAGCGTTCGTTTATTATGCCAGGTGTCCCAAGAAGCTCAAAGTTTGATATAAGATCCTGTATAGCAATTTTATTTAAAAAGAAATTCACACAAAAAGATATCCTAACCAATTTCTAATGAACAAAAGAGAATTCCTACAAAAAAATTTAATTTTAATTTTCGTGGAACAAGAAGAAAATATAATCGTCCAAGTGGATAGTCAAATTGGTTCCCATACGCCTGCTATTCGTAATAAACGGTTCCGTTTACGTTTGCGGTTTCATAATGATTGCAGGTAAGCAAAAACCCTCAGACTGGTTTTTTCCCCCGCTTGACGAATGGATTATTGGCAAAAAATATATCATCCCCTTCGTGGAATTAACAACGAATATTGCAGGGGATGTTTTTCTTCTAACACCTCTTCTAAATCGTGTACTGTAGTTACTTCTTTCGCCTCTACAAGATGATGTTTTCGATGGAAATAGAGCTTCAGCATCCTGTTTTATTTTTTAGAGATAATTAGGCCTATTCATTTGTGTATAAGTAAACCTAAGGTATTGGAATAAATAATGAGAGACTCGCTTTGTTGTATTTAATGAGGAAATAAAACTGCATCGTTTTTGTATAAAGATGCTGTGTAGTAGGACATGAAAAATCTTTTTCTTGCGATATTAAGTTTCTGTATTATTAAACCGTTCAAAAATGCATTATAACGAATCTAAAGCCTGGAAAATATAAAAGGCTACACAACCAGATCCGAAATCGATACGACTTGCTTTTTATTCCTAGTTCTATCGACGTCATTGCGGAGTCTGCATAATTCTCCCTTTAATTAGAGCTTTTCGATTTAAAATATCGGTTTTATTTTAACAAGTGTAAATTGTATATAGGCTTAATTAAACGCAACCGCCGCCAAGTTATCGAGCAAACTTTCCGCCAAGTTTAATTATAGCTAATAATTTTCACTTCACCACAATAGATAGTTATCTACAACGCAATAATCAGTTGTGAAACAGATGGCAGAAAACGAATCGGGACTAAGAGAAACTACCTTCATTTATCATATTTCTCGTTCGCTAATTTCAATTAGATTGTGGTGTAATAAAAGCGTTATTTAACTGTAAAACGAAAGGGATATTTTTGTTACTTACAACAGCATTATTGGATTTCCTCACGACGCACGGCAATTTGGCGGTTCCGCCGATTTGCGCTACGACTGTCGTGGAATTATCCGTGAAAAAGGTAGTTGCACGTCCGGATGGCGGGATTTTCAACGAGTTTCCGTAGGAGTGGTCTTTACCTCGGCGGGTTTCGTAGCTCCTTCGAATTCTCAAATTTTCTGGAAAGAACAGATAGCATTCAGATGAATTTTAATGGTTTCGTTCTCCCTACTTTGATTTGAATGTTGGGAAAAAAACTCGATCATTTTTCGAATCAAATTTTCATTTACAGGCTACTCGGAGGGCTTTCTTTGTTAACTAGCATTGTCGTCGAGTGTATTCCGAATCACTATTTTCGATGTTCGATTTTATCGTGTAATTGAAAAAGGGTATTTTCTAATACACCGCGAAATCGATACCTGTCTAATGAAAGGCAAACGTTTCAACACATTTCAAATTCAGCCTGTCTAATGAATCCGAACGTTTTCATTAAGGACATGTCGATATTCGTCAATGCATTTGAATAAATTAATTGGGAACTTGAATAAAACGTCTATCAAACACGCACATTGGTATTTTTGATGAAATCAATAAGCACTTCTGAAATTTAATGGCATTCAGGACTGTAATCAGATATTTAACTTATTAAAATCCTACCAATTTTCTTCTCCATTTCTAGTCCCAGATAACAAAATTAAACAACTGAATCTTCTAAAGTGTATCCAATACAAGAAGTATTTCTGGTGTATCTGCTCTATTAAAAATTTATATAAGTAGTAGAAATTAACATTATTTACTCATTTTTAACTGCATACACTCAGTCAATGTCGAATTAGCTTCGTAAAAACGGAGTAAATAGGTTTATAGGTTTTACATGGAGGCCTAAAAAAAAGTCGATGCATCAATCCGGTCCTGGTGAAGGTTTATTACAAACTGGAAATCGATAATTCGACTTACCCATTCGTCAATCAGTGGCAAACGGTTAACAACGTGATAAACCATTAGCTCGGTGTTATATTTTAAATATTTAATTTCGCGAGATGAGCTATTTTATCATTTTTTCGAGACTTTATCGAAGCGAAATCGAAGCTAATTTTAGATATAAATACAGTTTAGATTTCTATTTTTCGAATACGCCTAGGTAACTTTTATTTCCCTGTATATCAATTGAACAAATCGCCGCGATAAATTCCGAAAAGTGGAATTTGCTCGGTCCGAATCATTCAGATATACTCCGACGATAAATCTCGGGAAAACCGGAAAGAAAAGCCTAATGTTTAGATAACAATAGGTTGAAAAACTTGCGGGATTTTTTTTATGGGGCACTTAAAAATTCGCATGCGATGAAATACACGAATTGCAAAAGAGGATATTTTTTATGATAGCAATCAATAGGTTTTGTTGTGTTTTACATTCAAAGTTTATACCAAGAAACATGTAGAAATAGACTAGCTATTTAACTACTAAATCATTTTTTAATGTACCTACATCTGAATAAAAATTTAAAAATAGAACAGATTTTATCATCGCCATATTCAATTTCCAACTATAATCAGATCGAGATTGATTCGGTCTACATAAAACCCCAATGACTGCCATTAGCAAATAGAGCTGAGCTATTCTTTGTAATGAGCCTCTATATATTCCATTACGATTATGCGCCGCGAAAGTACATCAACATTAATTACATCTTCCTCTCCCTTTTCTATTCATGTATAATGCAATTATGGATTTGGTGTCAGTTCGTATCATCCATCACTCATTTCCTTTTCCTAATTCGAAGGCTATTTAACGGTCGGGTTCGCTTACAATAGCCTTTGATGGCAATTTCCAGATACACTTTCAGATATCTAACCGCTAAATTTGTCTTAAATAAGCTAATTAGTCCAATCGAATAGTTTGATGAAACTATTTCTTACACCAGCTGAGTTAATATTGATCATTCTCGGTAACTTTGCATTCTTCAGACTTTTTAAACAGCACACAATGCAGGCAATCTGCGATAAATCTAAAGGAAAAATCGGGCTGAGTAAGAGTTTTTCTTCAGGATACAATGGCAATGGCGTGAGAGATAATTAACTCTCGCAAATTCGCTATTCAGGAATATATACAGTTTCGGAAAAATGAAAATATTAGCTCCTTAGGTGGTTTTCAAATTGATTTTTATATCGAAAAAAAGCCTTTTTTTCACTAACTTCAAGCAATTCATCTGGTGTAGGTTTTAATAGTCGTGGCCTTAATTTTATTGAATTGGTTTTTCCAAACCATTTGCTGGTCTCAATTATTTCTTGGTCATTTCCGGACTTCTTGTCTTATCAGCTATCTAAATTATTACCCTTTAAAGGGAAAATCCAGCGCTGTTTGATAAACATTGATCGACTCTATTTTATCCCAATTTAGTTGCTAAATGTTTTTATCCACTACTATACAATGAAAAGTTTCGATTAATTTAGCATTAATTGAAAGACACAGAGAAGAAGTTTATTAGAAATTTATGTTATGAGCTGGATTTCATTAGGTACTAATGAAATTATCAGTTATTACAGTCGATACGTTTTGAGTGGGTCCTGGAGATTATCAAGAGGTAGAAACTTCGACAACTATTCGATTCCTTTGTAATCTAAAATGGTTCTCAATTTGGCGTTGGAAAGTCTAAAGAGACTTACGCTAGCATTAGCTAGATTTATAACCAACCATTCAGTGTTATTATCATTGATCTTTTGTCTTCATTAACAGTTTTTTTTTTGTAAAGCAAGTTTATAACAACAGTTTCAATTAAAAATCCATTAAAGCAATGAATGCAAGCGAGTTTCCAACTACATAATGTGGAATAATAAATGGACGTTCCTACAGATGATAATAAAAGGAATATTTGCTTCTCGAGAGGCGAATAAAAATTTCGAAATATCGAATAGGCGCAGTAAAGTAGAAACTACTTTTTTTTGTCATCGCGAAACAATCAAATCTAAAATTCTACTAGAATTTATCCGACCAAATGTTTCACGAAACGAAACAAAACAATACGAAATTTCGAATGCGACTCAGTCGAGTTTTATAGAACAAAAAACCGAATGCTTTATACTCTCATATATGCCTAAAAGTATCAATTGTTCAAATGATTCTGCGTAGACGAATTATCAGCATCGCTTTTACCAGTAAATAAAGTTTTCAACAACCATTTACTCCATCACCAATCTATTCAACATCGTTATCTTCGAACAAATCTATTTCAATCTCATCGAAGCTAAATGATTAAGATGAAGTTATTGAAGTTAAATGATAAAGAAATTAACGATTACCTGACTTGTTCATCCAGCTTGTCTGGGTCACCGCCTCCGAGGCGATGAAAAGAACCAAAGCGTAGAAAGTCATGTGGTTTACATGCACCGTTTTAATCGCCATGATGTGATTATAACGACAGGGGCACCATGAAATTCACCCTCAGTGCACCGAATAAACACTTTGAACCTTCATTTTCGCCATTCGAATTTCGCCATCGTCTTCGAAGCGATCTCGCGCGATGAAATTACGCCGATAAGTGCTCATCGGGTCATGTTCACCTGAGGAGGCGAAATCGGGATTAGTGCTGTTAATAATATTGTTTAATTAACGTTGATAAAGTTCGAAGGATTAATACCTGGCGCTTGATTGTTGTCGTATATGCTGGTGGAGTTTCTTTTGTTGTAATAATACTCTAATTATTGTATCGAAACAATGGCGATTGTAGTTGAATTTCTCAATATTCCTTCGCTTTTCGTGGACTTTCCCACTGTTGTTTTCTAGCATAGAAACACAACGGGGGGCTTTCTATCCCAACGCCGTACGGTTATTAATGTCGGCGACCTGGAACAAGGAAAGTACATTAATAAAAGTCTGGATAATTATTATGGATGTGTGTTTCGTTAAAAGATCCGCCGCGGGACGTTAATTATCTTTCGAACTAATTTTCGTTTTCGTCGAAACTTCAATAAGCAGGTGGTTGTTCCATTAAGATAAAAAAATTAATAACCGAACAAAGAAATGGAGAATTTACTTTTATAGTCTCTATTTATTTGTGTAGAATGTAAAGTTCTGGTAAAACCTTAGAAGGTCTTTTAATTTCCAAAGTTGGTGCAATTTTGGTTGTAATGGAGATTCAGTAATGGACCAAAAGAAAATTTTGTGTTGAATTGACGCAGAAATCCAATATTTTTAGGTAAAACAGATGAAACTGATGAAACAGATGAAACAGACAAAACAGACGAAACAGATGAATTATATGAAACTGATGAAACAGACGAAACAGACAGAAGAAACAGAAGAAACAGATGAAACAGATGAAACAGATGAAACAGATGAAACAGATGAAACAGACGAAACAGATAAAACAGATGAAACTGATGAAACAGACGAAACAGCTAGAAGAAACAGATGAAACAGATGAAACAGATGAAGCAGACGAAACAGCTGATAGATTCAACTATTTCCAGAGACATTTTTCACTTTTAACGATTCGCAAAATTCCTCATTTTCGATTATTATAAAACAAACTAAACTACAATTCATAAGAACAGCAATTTCTTTCAGTTTCTACCTGATATTCAGAAACCTCGCGACGATAGACCAGCAGCAAAGTAACCACCAGGAATTACTTCCGACAACTTCAACACCACCAAAACAAACCCGAATTCATTCCATCCACGTTTTTCTTCGAATTCCTGCTGGTAAAACCGAACCGGCCGGCGCGATCGGGCAGGAACCGGCGACGATATCGACGCTCGCGGCCAGAAAACGCAACTGAAAGCGCTGAAACTGAAATCCAGACATTTCGATGGAGCCGCCCGCTCCGCCGGTCCTCCTGCGAGCCTCTCTCCTGCCGCTATTCCGGCCTACCCTCCTCCGTTGGCGAGCCGAAAAGGGTGACATCTGTTAATAAACGCTCATTATTTCGCACGCTGCGTCGGATCAGAAGTCCGAAGGGAGTGCTACTGAGGCGCGAAAGTCGACCTCGAGGTTAACAAACGCTCAGACTTCCAAATCCAGATTCACAAACAATAGGTTCTTTCGCTCTTATAAATACTGCTGTTCAAATATCTATAGCTTCTAACCATTTGACAAACGATAGTTTCTTTGAACGATATTCGCTCTTATAAATACTGCTGTTCAAATACCTATAGCTTCTAACCCTTTGACAAACAATAGTTTCTTTGAACGATATTCGCTTTTATAAATACTGCTGTTCAAATATCTATAGCTTCTAACCATTTGACAAACGATAGTTTCTTTGAACGATATTCGCTCTTATAAATACTGCTGTTCAAATACCTATAGATTCTAACCCTTTGATAAAAAATAGTTTCTTTGAACGATATTCGCTTTTATAAATACTGCTGTTCAAATATCTATAGCTTCTAACCATTTGACAAACGATAGTTTCTTTGAACGATATTCGCTCTTATAAATACTGCTGTTCAAATACCTATAGATTCTAACCCTTTGATAAAAAATAGTTTCTTTGAACGATATTCGCTTTTATAAATACTGCTGTTCAAATATCTATAGCTTCTAACCATTTGACAAACGATAGTTTCTTTGAACGATATTCGCTCTTATAAATACTGCTGTTCAAATACCTATAGATTCTAACCCTTTGATAAAAAATAGTTTCTTTGAACGATATTCGCTTTTATAAATACTGCTGTTCAAATATCTATAGCTTCTAACCATTTGACAAACGATAGTTTCTTTGAACGATATTCGCTCTTATAAATACTGCTGTTCAAATACCTATAGATTCTAACCCTTTGATAAAAAATAGTTTCTTTGAACGATATTCGCTTTTATAAATACTGCTGTTCAAATATCTATAGCTTCTAACCATTTGACAAACGATAGTTTCTTTGAACGATATTCGCTCTTATAAATACTGCTGTTCAAATACCTATAGATTCTAACCCTTTGATAAAAAATAGTTTCTTTGAACGATATTCGCTTTTATAAATACTGCTGTTCAAATATCTATAGCTTCTAACCATTTGACAAACGATAGTTTCTTTGAACGATATTCGCTCTTATAAATACTGCTGTTCAAATACCTATAGATTCTAACCCTTTGATAAAAAATAGTTTCTTTGAACGATATTCGCTCTTATAAATACTGCTGTTCAAATATCTATAGCTTCTAACCCTTTGATAAACAATAGTTTCTTTGAACGATATTCGCTCTTATAAATACTGCTGTTCAAATATCTATAGCTTCTAATCATTTGACAAACAATAGTTTCTTTGAACCATATTCGCTTTTATAAATACTGCTGTTCAAATATCTATAGCTTCTAATTAATCCTTTGATAAAAAATAGTTTCTTTGAACGATATTCGCTTTTATAAATACTGCTGTTCAAATATCTATAGCTTCTAACCCTTTGATAAACAATAGTTTCTTTGAACGATATTCGCTTTTATAAATACTGCTGTTCAAATATCTATAGCTTCTAATCCTTTGACAAACAATAGTTTCTTTGAACTATATTCGCTCTTATAAATACTGCTGTTAAAATATCTATAGCTTCTAATCATTTGACAAACAATAGTTTCTTTGAACGATATTCGCTCTTATAAATACTGCTGTTCAAATACCTATAGATTCTAACCCTTTGACAAACAATAGTTTCTTTGAACGATATTCGCTCTTATAAATACTGCTGTTCAAATATCTATAGCTTCTAATTAATCCTTTGACAAACAATAGTTTCTTTGAACCATATTCGCTCTTATAAATACTGCTGTTCAAATATCTAGAGCTTCTAACCCTTTGACAAACAATAGTTTCTTTGAACGATATTCGCTCTTATAAATACTGCTGTTCAAATACCTACAGCTTCTAACCATTTGACTGACTGTTTTTATTAATTTCATCATCATGATGTCGGTTGTGGAGCGATAATAATTAGCAATATATTATCGAATGTGAACAACGCATAATCCGTAATAATAAACATTGCTTTAGTGTTTATACAGCCCAGTAATGCAAACCGAAAACGATACTGCAAACACTGGCGTTTTGTATAATCAATCGCTCGGTGAATACGCGAAATGTGCAGACTAATCACAACATTTATTTGTCGAAATTTAATTCCGGTTCTGATTTCGATGCGATAAAATGCAGCGAACGGAGTAAACCTTCGATTATGCAGCGTTAATGAATAGTTGAAACGAGTGTAAAAATATAAAGAGTAAATTTACGATGAGTTGGATCTTAGAAGGGAGTCGATTAGCATCTTCCTGAGCACTTCTCGCCCCCATCAGATGCTGCAAATGACGGGGTATCAGCGCACTTCGGGATAATTAAACCCGTCCTGTCACGTGTGATTTATTTAATTCGATGTTATTAGACGGCGAACCGCTGATTTAAATAATTATTGCGGCTGATTAGGATCTGGGGAGTTCGCGAATCGCTTCGGAGGGCTTCTAACGTTTTCATCAGCGGTAATAAACTAAAATATAGACCGGCTACCGGATTAATTTTTATTTTTCATTCGCGTGCTGTTAATTGGCGGGATTCGTGTTGTTCTTTTGGTCGGATTTTGATTTGATTAGTTTCCTCTGATTAAAACAACCGGCTAGTTGTGATGTGAAAACTGAATGAATGAAAAATTACCATATTATTAGCTTTTATGCGGTATAAATATGATCTACATATTGGCCGTTTTTCACCCGAATAATTTTTTAAAAATCTCATCCCGACGAAATTTATAGATTTGATATTCCACTTTATTACTACTAACCCGGCTGAATTGCATAATAGGAGTTCCTTGCCTTCGTTTCTACTCGAGAAAGGAAGCCGTAAAAATATTCGGATTTCCAGCTATGATATTACTATTGATTTCATTAAATTTTATTTCTCGTCTTGCCGGGGAAAGGTAGAAAATTAAAAAAATATTCAGCAAAATATTCATTGATTACAGCTACTTTTACGAATCTGTATTTGAAATTGTTACAGTTTCGAGCTTTTATCCGCCATTTTTTTCTTCTAATCCATTTGGTCCGGAGAGAACCGAAAGATAACAAGTTAATCCGAAAACAGCGAGTCTCATTCCAGGGGAACACAAATTATATTTCAGTTAATGGTTTGTGGCTAAATGGATAGCTACAAATGGCTCATTCTATATAGAAAAAGACTCGACAAAAAGCGATGAAAAGTTTTACCTAAATTCATTTTACAACTTATTTCCATTTGGAAAATATTGGTGTTATTATACCAAGCCTTGAATATGTTTAAAGAAAATGAAAATGTGGAAGAAATATGAAAAATTTTCCGGCAACTTTGCGAACGGAGTTTACTTTCCACGTTGTGATGTTGGAATTAGGAAACTTACCTTCTAAAACCCCATTATAGTGCGAAATTTGTCTATATTTTATTTGTCAAATTTTTTAGTACAAACAAATGAGTTAAAAAACACTTTCTTTAACAGTTTCGACGCTAAAATTATTTCGCTGAAACCGACTTCGAGTTCTCATTATTTTCTCGATTCCAATATTGGTTCGCGGGGAAAAAACAAGTTGGAAATTGGAAACTCTTTTGTTGTAGTATATAGAGAAGAAAGACAAGCGAAGAAACAAAAATAGTTCGATTCCGCTCTCTGAATAAAAGCCCGTTGTTTTACTTGATAAAACCCATTGTCGAAAATACCTCAAACTTATTCCCGAAACAAAAGTATTAGTATACTTATTTTAAACTTTATTCTTCTCGTTCGGTCGGCAGGAAGTTTCCTGTTAATGAACCTATCAATGTGCAAATTACAAGAGATATCTAAACTATTTCTCCGCTCTTGAATGATCTCTACAGCAAACAGAAAAGTTAAAGA